CGGGAGGAGGATCAGGAGAGGAGGGGGAGGGGGCGGGAGGAGGAGGAGGAGTAACATGAAGAGAAACAGAGGGAGAAGGAGGAGGAAGAGGAGGAAGATTTGGAGGAGGAGGAGGAGGAGGAGGAAAGGAGGACGATGCTGCTGATATTGATAATGATGCTAATACTGATGATTATGATGCTGATGCTGCTGCTGATGATGATGCTGATGATGGTTATGATGCTGATGATGATGCTGATGCTGATGCTGATGATGCTGATGCGGACGATGATGACGATGATGAAGATGATGATGCTGCTGCTGATGATGATGTTGATGATGATGCCGACGATTGCTGATCATGATGGGACGACGCTGATCATTATAATCATGATGCTGATGTTTGTTATGATGATGCTGCTGTTGATGATATTGATGCTGATGATGCTGATGCTGATGATGACGATGATGATGCTGATGATAATGATGACGAGGATGACGATGATGCTGCTGCTGCTGCTGATGATGCTAATGATGATGCCGATGCCGGTGATGATGCTGCTGCTGCTGATGCTGATGCTAATGATGCTCGATTATGATGCTGATAATGGTGATGGTGATGGTGATGCTGCTTCTGCTGCTGGTGATATGATGGTGCTGCTGATGATGATGATGACGAGGAGGAGGAGCATGATGAACATGATGATGATTATAAGCTGGTGTTGATCATGGTGATGACTGTTGAGATGATGAAGGTGATGCTGATGCGGATGCTGATGGTGCTGCTGCTGATTATGCTCATGATGATGATGATGATGATGGTGATGGTGATAGTGATGGTGATGCTGATCAGGATGCTGCTGCTGCTAATGATGATAATGATGATGATGATGGTGATGCTGATGACGATGAATAAGATGATGCTGCTGCTGATGATGCTGATGATGCTGACGCTGATGCAGATGACGATGGAGATATTCATGATATGAGGTGCATGATGATTTCGATGTTGCTTCTGCTTCTGTCGCTGCTGCTGATGATGGTGGTGGTGGTAATTGATGATGATGCTGCTGATAATGATGATGTCTCAGTATGATGATGATGATGCTGATGATGGTGATGATGATGATGAAACTGATGATGCTGCTGCTGCTGATGATGTTGATGATGATGCCGACGATTGCTGATCATGATGGGACGACGCTGATCATTATAATCATGATGCTGATGTTTGTTATGATGATGCTGCTGTTGATGATATTGATGCTGATGATGCTGATGCTGATGATGACGATGATGATGCTGATGATAATGATGACGAGGATGACGATGATGCTGCTGCTGCTGATGATGATGATGATGATGCTAATGATGATGCCGATGCCGGTGATGATGCTGCTGCTGATGATGCTGATGCTAATGATGCTCGATTATGATGCTGATAATGATGATGGTGATGGTGACGATGATGCTGCTGCTGATGATGATGATGCTGATGATGAGGATGATGATGATGATGACGATGATGATGATGCTGATGATGATGCTGATTATGATGGTGATGATGCTGCTGATGATGCTGATGATGACGACGATGATGATGTTGCTGCTGATGATGATGCTGATGATGATGATGATGGTGGTGATGGTGATGGTGATGGTGATGATGATGATGATGATGATGATGATGATGATGATGATGATGATGATGATGATGATGATGATGATGATGATGATGATGATGATGATGATGATGATGATGATGATGATGATGATGATGATGATAATGATAAGGATGAGGAGGAGGAGGAGGAAGAGGAGGAGGAGGAGGAGGAGGAGGAGGAGGAAGGAGGAGGAGGATGCTGCTGCTGCTTGGGAGGAGGAGGAGGAGGAGGAGGAGGAGGAGGAGGAGGAAATGGAGGAGGAGGAGGAGGAGGAGAAGGAGGAGGAGGAGAAGGAGGAGGAGGAGGAGGAGGAGGAGGAGCAGGAGGTGGAGGAGGAGGAGGAGGAAGAGAGGAAGAGGAGGAGGAGGAGGAGAGGAGGAGGAGGAGGAGGAGGAGGAGGGACTCGGATGCGGGTAATGGCAAGACGACGAGGAAGTGGACGTCGCCAAAGGCGCTGGGGCGCCTCACCCAGAACAGCCGCACCCTGCAGCTGCTCAGGCCTTTGCCGGATGCGGGGGCTGGCGCCGCCCGTCGCCGCCGTCATCGTCGCCTGTCGCTGCTGGGGGAGGAAGAGGAGGGATGGAGGAGAAGGAGAAGAAGGAGGAGGAGGAGGAGGACGAAGAAGAAGAAGATGAGGAGGAGGAGGCGGTGGAGGAGGAGGGTGAGGAGGAGGGATGGAGTATCTGACCTTACAGGTTCGTGCGCCTTGCAGTTTGCCTAAGACAAGGGATGGAGTAGGAGGATGAGGGGAAAATGGAGGAGGAGGAGAAGGAGGAGGAGCAGGACGAGGAGGAGGAGGAGGAGGAGGAGGAGAAGGAAAAGGGAGGATGGTGGAGGAGGATGGGGAGGACGAGCAGGAGGTGGAACAGGAGGTTCCTACAGTTTTCTACAGGCCTGACCGTCAGCGATCCAAGAGAACAGTGACCGCGGCGCCGGATGCCTCACTCTGGCCCGAGGCCTGGTCCTGGGCGACCGGGCTCAGCACGAACCAGAGAGGGCCTTCCTGGGGAGGGGTGGGAAGAGGAGGAGGAGGAGGAGGAGGAGGAGGAGGAGGAGGAGGAGGAGGAGGAGGAGGGGAGGAGGAGGAGAGCGGAGGAGGAGGAGGAGGAGGAGGGGAGGAGGAGGAGAGCGGAGGAGGAGGAGGAGGAGGAGGAGGAAGATGAGGAGAGGGTGGCGACCTGTAAGTCGAGTCCGACTCTGCCTCGCTCTACCCTCGCAAAGAGCGATGGCATGCGGCCCCGCGTTCGCATGAGGGAGGCACCATCTCTACTCTGCTGCTCCTGCCGCCTTCCATTGCGCTACACTCTCAGCGGGCTGCCCGTTGAGGAGGGGGAGGGGTGGGATGAGGAACAGGATGAGGAGAGGCTGACGAGGGGGATGGTGATGATGGTGATGATGCTGCTGATGATGCCGATGACGGCGATGACGATCATATTGACGACGATGATGACGCTTGCGATGGTGATGGTGGTGGTAGTGCTCGTGACGGTATCGTTGCTGATGGTGGAACTAGTGACGATGAGGACGATGACGGCAGCAGGAACACGAGAACATGAGCAGAAGGATGAGGGAGCAGGGCGACGACGAGTATAGCAACCACGGCAGCGTTACTAGCATCAGCATGAGGAGGAAACAGAGATCGAGGAGGAGCGGAACCAGGAGGGAGGAAGAAGGAAATTGCACTGGCAGCAGTGTCGAATCTTGTGCCCCAAGTAAGGCACTGCGGCACACCTTTTTGCATCAAGCGGCTTTGGAACAGACAGGGGGGGAATCCGAAATCGAAGGACAGTGGCCCTGACGTGCCCCCTACGCGGCCCTTGAATCGCAACAGCGGGCCCAGAAGGTGGTGGACAGGTACACGTCAGCCCTCATCAACGAACTCCGGAGGGGAAGAAACACGCACACACACAATTAATCCTCGATTCCCAGGAAATCATGGGAGAATATGGGCAGTGGGGGGGAAGACGAAAGTCCAACAAATATGGCAAAGTATGGGGAATCCTGGGATTTGTGTGTATTTATTTGTGTGTCCCCAGGCCCCTTGACGAACGCCCAACGGGGACAATCACGTCCTCGTCGGCGCGGAGCGCCGCCTGCCTGCGTGCAGCCCTCGCAAGGAAGCGTCTCCAGGATGGCACCGCGCCACATGGCGCCCCCTGCGAGGCAGGTCGGCATGACGATGACGGCGACGACGATGACGAGGATGCTGGTGTTGTTGATGAGGATGCTGTTGATGATGGTGGTGACGACGAGGACGACGATGATGCTGATGCTGATACTGATGCTGATGCTGATGGTGATGATGCTGCTGATGATGTTGATGATGATGCTGATGATGCAGATGCTGATGATGTAGATGCTGATGATGCTGATGATGATGATGACGATGATTCTGATGATGATGCCGATGATGCTGATGCTGATGCTGCTGCTGCTGCTGATGCTTATGCTGATGCTGATGCTGATGCTGATGCTGATGCTGATGATGCTGCTGCTGCTGATGACTATGATGATGATGATGATGATGATGATGATGATGATGATGATGATGATGATGATGATGATGATGATGATGATGATGATTGATGATGATGATGCTGATGATGATGATGATGATGATTATGATTCTGATGATGCTGCTGCTGATACTTCTGATGATGATGCTGATGATGCTGATGCTGATGATGATGATGCTGCTGCTGATGATGATGATGATGATGATGATGATGATGCTGAGGAGGAGGAGGAGGAGCAGGAGGAGGTGGAGGAGGAGGAGAAAGAGGAGGAGGAGGAGGAGGAGGAGGAGGAGGGGAGGAGGAGGAGGAGACGCAGGAGCAGGAGCAGGAGCAGGACCAGGAGCAGGAGCAAGAGCAAGAGCAGGAGCAGGAGCAGGAGCAGGAGAAGGAGCAGGACCAGGAGCAGGAGCAGGAGCAGGAGCAGGAGCAGGAGCAAGAGCAGGAGCAGGAGCAGGAGCAGGAGGAAGAGCAGGAACATGAGCAAGAGCAGGAGAGGGATACCATGAGGATGAGGAGGAACTGCTTCTTGGGGCCTTTTTGGGGGTTCCTGGGGCCTCCTTGTAGCTTCCTTTGTAAGCTTCTTGGGGATCTCTTGGGGGCCTCGTGTGACTCTTGGCCCGTCTTACGCCTATGAAGGCCGCCTTGGGGGCCTCTCCAGCCCTCTCTGGTGCCCTCTTCGAGCGGTTCACGGCCGTCTTTGTGTCCCTCGTGGGGGCCCCTAAGTCGATCTTTGGGTCCTCTTGGACTGTCTTGGAGCTATCTTGGATGCCTCTTGGAGCCTTCTTGGGCCGTCTTGGGCTGTCGGACACCCGAACAGGTGAGAACCTCAAAACCTTTCAAACACCTCTGGGAAATCAATGGTTTTTGCCTCCTCGGGCTCTCCAGGAGGGCCTCCTGGAGACCTCTTAGGCCGTCTTGGGGTCTTTCTGATCTGCCTTGAGGCTGTCTCTGGGGCCTCTTGAGCCGGCTTGGGCCATCTTGGGCCATCTTGTCGTCATCTTGGCTGCCTTGAAGCCGTCCTGGATGCCCTGAGGCTGCCAAGAAGGCCTCAAATCAGATCGAGGTGCCCCCCAGACGGCCCACGAGCTCTCCAAGAGGTCCTCCAGGAGAGCCCGAGGAGGTTAACGCCATTGACGTTCCCTTGGTTTTGTAGGGTTTTGAGGTTCCGACATCTTTGGGTTTCCGACCGCTCACGTCAGCCCGAGAGGCCTTCTTGGGCCGTCGTGTGGCCTTCTTGCGGCGCTTCAAGACCTTCTTGGGGCCCTCTTTGGGAGCCCCTTGAGCGATCTGTGGGTTCTCTTGAGCCGAGTTGGGGCCTTCTTGGGGGCCTTTTGGGCCGTCTTGAAGCCATCGTGGAGACCTCCTGGAAGCCTCTTGGGCCGTTTTGGGTGGTCGGCAGGCACTCGAACAAGCGAGAATATCAAATTCTTTCAAGCACCTCAGGAACATTTATGATTTTACTATCCCCCTCGGGCTCTTCAGGACGGCCTCTTGGAGCTCGCTCGGGTCGTCTTGGGGGCCTTTTGGGTCGTCCTGAGGCTCCCTTGGGCTAACTTGAACCGTCTTGGGGCTCTCTTGAGAGTCTCTTGAGCTGTCTTGGGCCATCTTGAGCCGTTATGTTGTGTCTTGGAAGCCGTCTTGGAGGCCATCTTGGCCGTGTGGAGGCCGAACATACCGCCAGCCACCAATTTCAAACTGGGAGTTTTTGAAGGGTGCGCGGTGTGAGGGGGGCCTTGAAACTCTAGATAGCCTCCCAGATAACCCAGACACCACATCGTATTCTAACGCGCCTCACTCCATGCAGGCACGGTGGCGGACCATGATGATGATGTTGATGTTGTTGTTGTTGATGATGATGATGATGATGATGATGGTGATGATGATGATGCTGATGCTGATGCTGTTGATGATGATTCTGCTGCTGATGATGATTGTGGTGATGATGAGGATGCTTATGGTGATGGCCATGATGACGACAACGATGATGATGATGGTGATCATGATGTTGCTGCTGCTGATGATGATGGTGCTGACCATGATGATGCTGATGATGATGATCATGACGACGAAGATGCTGATGATGATGCTGATGACCATGGTGTTGTTGATGATGATGATGATGACCATGCTGATGATGATGATGATGCTGACGACAATGACGATGCTGATGATAATGCTGATGCTGATGATGATGAGGATGGTGATAATGCTGATGATGAAGCTGCTGCTACTTCTGATGATGATGATGCGGATGATGCTGGTGCTGATGACTGTGCTTATGATAAGGGTGATGATGCTGATTATAATGCTGCTGCTGATGACGGTGATGATGACACCGGTGCTGCATACATGGATGACACGATGAGTAAGACGTCGACGATGACGATGATGCTGAAGATGATAATCATGATGCTGATACTGCGGATGATGATGATGGCGATGCTGATGATGCTGATGATGATGTTGATGATGATGATGATGATGATGATGATGTTGACTATGAGTGTGATAATGATGATGATGATGATGATGATGATGTTGATGATGCTAATGCTGATGATGATGACGATGCTGATGATGCTGATGATGATGCTGGTAATGATGACGATGCTGCTGATGATGGTGATGCTGATTGTGCTGATGGGTATGATGATACTGATGCTGGTGATTCTGATGATGACGACGATGATGATTCGTATGATGATGATGATTATGATGATGATGGTGCTGATGATTATGATGATGATGCTAATGATGACGATGATGACGATGACGATGACGATGACGATGACGATGGCGATGATGATGATGATGATGATGATGATGATGATGATGATGATGATGCTAATGGTGATGATGATGACGACGATGATGATGACGATGATGATGATAATGATGACGATGACGATGACGATGATGATGAACCATGATGATGATGATGATGATGATGATGATGATGATGATGATGATGATGATGATGATGATGCTGATGATGATGATGATGATGATGATGATGCTGATGCTGCTGCTGCTGCTGATAATTATGATGCTGATGACGATGACGATGACAAGGGCGACGACGATGATGCTGATGCTGATGCTGATGCTGATGCTGCTGCTTCTGCTGCTGCTGCTGACGATGATGATGATGATGATGATGATGATGATGATGATGATGATGATGATGACGATGCTGATGCTGATTAAGTCTGGTCATGATGATGCTGGTCATGATGATGCTGGTGGTGGTGATGGTGGTGATGGTGGCGCTGACGGTGACGACGACGTTGATGACGATGATGGAAGTGATGTTGGGCGGTGAGGAGGGTGAGGAGGAGGGGAAGGAGGGACATGTGGAGGGAGGAGGAGGGAAGGAGGGAGGGACGGACTGAGGGAGGGAGGGAGGGAGGAGAGAGTGATGAGGGAGGAGAAGTGGGGCTGGAGGACCAGGCGGAGGAGAAGGGGGGATGGAGAGCGGCGATGCTGCTGCTGGTGCCCCCGTCAGACTCTGGCTGAGGAGAGCAACAGATCGATGCCGACATCCTTGCTTCTTTTCGCCTTTGGGGCATTCTGGGGAGCCCTTGCCGCCACGGCTGGATTCGCTCCAGAATCCTGGCTCGAATGCACCACAGGAGGGATCCAGGGCTGCAGCGGCATCGGGAATCGGAATCTTTGAGTTCCCCGAAGGGCAGAGCAAGAGAGGGATGATGGTGACGCCGATGGTGATGTCGACGAGGAGGGGGAGGAGGAGGAGGAGACGCTGGAGGAAGAGGGATGAGTACTAGAAACGCACTCGTATGAGCACATGCTAGCCGATGAACAATCGGGCTCGTGAGAGGTAGTTCGTTGGCCATTGCGATGAAAATTACGACCGATTGCTCACTCTCATCGAAGATTCTCGCAGGCTTCACGCAGTGTTTCTTTTTCAAGCTCAATCCTTATTCTTCTGCTTGTCGGGGTCGGTTCGTTGTCTCGGGTGATGTTGCTCAGCTTGATTGGAGGCGAGGGCCATGAGGGGTCTCTGCTTCACGCGCCCAAGGGACATGCGCTGTGTGCGCATTATCAACTGGGTCTTCGGATTATCATGGATTGTGCACCTGTTGTCGTGCGGCTGGTACCACTTCTCATTGACTCTGATCTTTGCAACGTGGTTCTCAGCTGTCTTCCTTGCTGCGGCCTTGCTGCGGCTTCGCCTCGCTGAGAGGTCTCTCTCTCTCTCTCTTTCCCCCTTTCTATTATCATCGCTCTCATTCTCTCTTTCTCTCTCTCTTTCTTTCTCGATTCCTCTGTCTGTCTGTTTGTTTTCTGTCTACCCGTCTTTGTGTTTTTTGTTTGTTTGTTTGTTTGTTTTCTCTCTCTCTCTCTTGTTATCTCTATCTCTGTTTCTCTCTGTGCTGGATGCGCGCACGAGTGTTTCGCTGCGATAACTGCCTGGCTTGCGCTCGCGCATCCACGAGCTGACTTAGATACTCTCTGCTTCCTCGTGCCGCTGATTCCAGCACGTCACCGGTCTGACACGGACGGACTTGTGAGCATGCCGTATCTCGTCTCCACTCATGGTCGTATCGGTGTTCTTGTCTGTCTGCGTTCCGCTCTCCAAGCATTCGTGCTCTGTGGTGCTGCTTGTCTTTTGTTGTTGTAGTGCTCGCTCTCTCCGTTTAGATGCTCCTTTTGGGGACCTTCCTGGGGCCACCTAACGGATCTGTTCGACTAGTTCGACCGTTCGACCCCAGTTCGACTTAAATTCGACTGCAGTTCGACTCAAATTCGACTCGGGTTCGACTCAGGTTCGACTCAGGTTCGACTCAGGTTCGACTCAAAGGCGGCTCACATCGATGGACGTTCGACGCAGCTTCGACGTGCCAGACCGCGAGGGCGCGGATACGGACATGTTCGCCGCTCGTGAGTGTAGCCAAATCTACGTCGTGATTCCAGTACACAAAACAACATGTCACTACAAACACGCATGGCAACAACACAAAACGAACTTAACAAACAAATGAAGACATGGCATTGAGGTGTCGATGTTTCTTCTGCTCCTCTCTCCAGGCCGCCGTCCTCACAAGCTTGCTTGTCGGACCTGTTGTCGTGTCTTGACATCGCTCGGACGTGTGCGTTTTTTTCTCGGCGAGGACCATCGAGGAGCATTTTGGTTCATCGTGCGGAACAATACACACGAAATCGAACACTGCACGGGAGAGTGGACGTCTGAGCGATGGCGAGGTACTACTCGTGCCAACCGTATCAAAGACGCCTACGGCGAATCACCGCCGCCACCTGCCTTTTGGAAGCGTCTATGTGAACAAAAGTTGGGTTAGAGACTGGCCAAGCTATCGGACCATGTGTTCCCCGAGTCGGGTTAGAACATCTTTGGGGAACACGTGGGGGACAATGCTTGGGGCACTCTTGGGGCCTCCTGGGAGCTTCCTGATGGCTTGTTGGAGGCCCCTTGGGCCTCTTGGGGGCCTCTTGGGGGCCTTCGGGGGCCTCTTGGGGGCCTCTTCGGCCGTCTTAGGGTGTTCCTGGACTGTCTGACGCCGTCGGAAGCCGTCTTGGGGGCCTCTCTGAACCGACTTGGGGCTCTCTTAGGGCGCTTCAGGGCCGTCCTGGAGGCCATCTTGGGCGTCTTGGAGGCCTGTAGGGCCCTCTTGGGGCCGTCTTTGGGCTTCGGGGACCGTCCGGAAGTCATCTTGGAGGCCTTTTGAGTTATCTTGGGGCGATGTTTGGGGCCTCTTGGACCGTCTTGGGCTGTCGGAAGGCCGAAAAGAAGCACATGCCCAAATCCTAAAACGAACCAGAGGAACATCAATCATTTTGGCCTCTTTGGGCCCTTCTGGTGGACGTCTTGGACGCCTCTTGGACAGTCTTGGAGGCCTCTTGGGTGCCTCTTGGGTCCTCTTCGACCGTCTTGGCGGCGTCTTGGGCGGACTTGGCGGCATCTTGGACCCTCCTGGGCCGTCTGGGAGGCCGTCTTGGACCATTTTGGGCGAACTTTGAGCCTATCTTGGCCGTCTTGGAGGCCATCTTGGGCCGTCTTGGAGGATTATTTCCGGTTTTGTGGTCCTTTCGGGTGGCCTGGCGGGACGGGCCGAAGCCCCAGGGGGAGTTTATTTGGAAAAGAACCAGAACCAAATCGTAAGAAATCCAGCGCGCCGGGCACCCCTGTGATAAATCTACAGGGGGCGGCGGATCGAAGACGCCTACGGCGAATCATCGCCGCCCCCTGCCTTTTTGGAAGCGCCTGTGTGGCCGAAAGTTGGGTTTGAGCTTGGCCAAGCTATCGGGCCACGCGTTCCCCGAATGGGTTTTGAAAGCTTTCGGGGAACAAGGAGTCGGGCGAGCTATCGGACCAGGTGGTTTCCGAGCTTTCGGGTTTCCTGGATGACGTCTTGGAGGGATCTTGAGCCGTCTTGGAGGCCTCTTGCGGGCCTTTTGGGCAGTCTAAGGCCATCTTAAGGCCATCTGGGGCCGTCTTGGATGCATCTTGGGGCCATTTTCGCTGTCTTGGAGGCCTTCTTGGCCGTCTTGGAGGCATCTTGGAGGCCATCTGCCTTTGGGGCCGTTTTGGGTCGATGTTGGTGGCGTTTTGGGCCGTCTTGGTCACCCTCAAGACAGAAACGTGGAGCAGGCCACGATCATACCAACAAGACGTGTTTCCAACGCAATTTTGGCACCCCTGGGCCAGCTACCAGAGTCCACACGACGGTCTAAGAGGCTCCCAAGAGGGCTTCCAGACGGGGACGGGCCCTACGGTGTGTACTTGGCAAGTTCAGCTATCACAAGGTGAGCTGCCAGTACAACGTGCTCAATCAATCAGTCCTTCTCCCACTCTCGCTACCCCTTCTCCTATACCAGCCGCGTCCCTATCCCCCCTCTCCCCTTCACCCCGCCCGCCTCCTCCTCTTCCTCCTCTTCCTCCTCTTCCTCCTCTTCCTCCTCCCTCCTCCTCCCCCTTTCGTCTTCCCCGTCCTTCTTCACCTTTCCCTCCCTTCATCCTCCTCCTCCTCCTCGTCCCCCGGCTCCTCCCTCCCTTGTCTCCCTCCCTCCCGCCACGGCCACGGAGGCTCTGGGTAAGGGCTGCCCCGCCCCCCCCCCCCTGAGGGGGGACCCCCGCGGCAGCCAGAAGGCTCCGTCCGCAAACGAGGCCGCCGCCTGTGGCGTGAAGTCGGGCATGTCCCTCCACAGGAGGGAGGACACAAAAATAGTAACAGACAGTCTGGGCACGATTTGTCGAGAAAAGCGCGGAGGTCCGCGCGGATGTTTTGTATCTGCGCTGGGCCCCCCCTCCCTCGCGCGCGGAGCGCGCCAGGGGCGGCGCCGGAGGCGCCGCCAGGGGGTGCCAGCGCCGATCCGAGGAACCCGCGCGGACTTCCGAGTTTGAGAGTTTCTGTCATTGTTCGTTCCCCTACTCCCTCCCGCTCCGAGGTACCTCTGCGCCGCGCTGCACCAGTCTCCCGCGGAGACCTGGGTGGGGCGGCGCGTCATCAACACCGAGGGCGAGACGCTGCAGACCGAGGACGCGGCGCGTGGCCGCCGCCGCAGCGGCCGCCCGCTGCTGGTCGCCGTCGTCCTGGTGGTCGGTCGCCGGCCGCCGCGGTTTTTCCCCGCGGGCGACTTGGCGCCCACAGCCATCGAAGACGAAAGTCAGGAGGACAAAAAACACCCACAGACACAAGTCAACTTAGGATGTTCCAGCCTACTTTAGCCTTGATCACCATAATGAATTTCGAGCACCAGGAAAACACCCCAAACTCGAGGGTTTTCACGTGTCGGGCCCTGGGGGACGCTCTTTCGACACTGTCGACACTCTTTCGGCACTGTTCTGGGTGCTCGGAATGATTTCTGGGATGTGGTCCTTAAGTACGATGGGAGCATCATAAAAGTAAACGTCGATCCTCATGGACATACGGGAAACTATGGGGAGTGGAAAGGGGGGGGGGAGACGAGACTCCCGAAGGTGTGGGAAGCCATGTCGGGAATCTGGTGCTTTGTGCTCAGTTACTGGTGTGCCCCTGTGCCCCTGTAGACGAGGTCTCGGAGGACCGCGCGCAGTTTTTTTGTGTCGTCGCCACGCCCTCCCTGGCGGCGCCTCCAGCGCCGCCCCCCGGCGCGCTCGTCGCGCTGGGGGGAGGGAGGCCCAGCGCCGATCCGAAAAGTCCGCGCGGACTTCCCAGAAGGTGTTGCTAACGAATTGCTCCCCGAATTCCCCAGGCCGCCCCGCAGACTCGGGCCGCTCCGAGACGACGGGGAGCTCGGGGATGCACCACGGGTGGCTGCTCGGACACGCCCCCGTCGAGGCTGGACGTCCCCAGGGGGTGCGAAGGTGATCGCGCTGCGCGCGTCGCACATCAGTGAGGGGGAGGCGTCCAGGGGGGGCGCGGCGCGCGCTCCTGTGCCGTCTGGCTCCAGGCACGCGCGCCCTGTGCGTCGACGCAGGGGCACGTGCGTCCTGCCCGAGAGGGAAGTCGTACTCTCCGCATCCTGCATCCCATCCTGCACCCCACGCTATCCACACGGTTCGTGATGGTTCTATACCAAAAGTTCCGGGCGGGCTTCGGGCATGTCCGGTTCTGCGGCGATCACTGGGCACGGACGTGGAGAGGAGGGGCCTGATGAAGAATGCGCGACGCCCTGCAGACCTACCGTCGACACCTGCGCCGCTGAGAGGCCCGACTGGCTCAGGTAATCTGTGCGTCACGACAACGGCGTGGTCAAGCATCAGTCCCCGTTGGAAAAAACAATCAGCTTGGCGGGCGTTGCTGGGCGCGTGACGATGGACGCGGCCACGATCGAGATCATCTCGGATGACTACCACCCCCATAATTTCTGCATGGGGAAGCCGATTCTACTTCCTCGATCCCACCGTGGGGGGAGTATGATGATTGTGTTCCACTGCTATCGCAAGGGGTGTGAGCCCAACTACATCGTGGTGATGAACGCCCCTCCGATGCGCGAGAACTATGGTCCGAGCAGCCTTTTCTCCCCGGCGAGCTCAGCCGAGACGATGGCTGACTTTGTCAGCGTCCGGAGGTCTCCGACGTTCCTGTTCCCTACGTGACGGGGCCCAAAAGAAAGGCGCGAGTGATGGAGTATGATATGGGAGATTAATTTCCCTCCTGTGCTGCATTACATGAAGAGCTTACCGACACCGAGCCCCCAACTTTTTCCCCCAGCGGGGACGCCCTGCGGCCCGGAGCTGACCTCGATCGAGGACGCGCAAGGAGGGTTCAAAGGAGAAGATTTTTCGCTCATTGAGGAGGCCATTGCGGAGTGCGTGAACGTGGAGGCCGAAATTTGGCCCAAGGGCTTCACGCCCGACGTTGGTGGCAAGGCCATGGACGATGATGGATTTCCTGACCCTCGTCTTCGCGAGCCATAGCGGCCAAGGTGCTGATTGAGATTCTCTATGGCGCGCGGATGGCGCGATGTGATATGTTCAGGGCGGTGCGTGCGCTGGAGCAACAGGGCACCGAACTCTGTGGACTTGTCTGCTGCATCAGAGCTACGGCACACTACCGAATGTTTTCCTGGGTAGTAGACAACATCGCGGACGTTTGGATCAAGCAGTACGCTGATGCCGACCTCGCCAGTGACATTAGGACCCATCGGAGTACGAGTGCCAACGCCCAGAAACTCCAGGGGCAGAGTACCAGAGTTCGACAGAACTGCAACTCTCTTCGGCAGACATGCGACATTTCATCGTGCGCTGGAGGCCGAGGTTATGTCCGCAGATGAGGCGGTCAAGCGAGAGTTGCTGCCGGCTTTTCCGATTTGGGAACGACTTCTGGGAAAGCATCCCAGGGCGTAGTTCATGGAGGACAACCAGGTGGTGGTGAAGGTATGCAGAGCGGGGCGGTCGCAGCAGAAACTCATGCACCTCCCTTGGACCCATCGTATCGGTGCCACCGAGGTTGCAGAACAGCTCGCACGGGATTTTATTGATCTGGCATGTGGCCCTGTTCGAGTTCAGGCTGTCGATGTTGGACCGACCGTTTCGAGCAGCCTCCGTCGCGGGCGAAGGTCATTTATTTGGTGCACGTGGTAGCGCCGACGTTCTGGACATCGCCTGGCTGTGCTAGTTGCATGGGGTCTCTCTTGCAGGGAGACGGGGCGCTCCCTCTGAAATCCAGGGGAATACTGAAACCCCGACTTGGCCTTCGGTTCAAGCTGCTGACTGGCGGCAAGGTCGCATGCAAAAAGTCCAATCGGAAATCCAGAAGGCAAAACAAGGGCGAACCGCTGGCTGACGCACCACCCCGAAGCAAACCGGGCCTCGCGGCCTAGTTGGGTGGTGTTGCAGCGGCGCTGTTTCGTGACTGTGTCACGGGCGCCCCTGTCGGCGGCGAAGTTAGCGACTCGCGCGCCCCCGGGCCGAGGATGCTCTCGAATTTCCCCAAGCGCGTGTTACTGGAATTCTTTTGCAGTCCTCTGATGATGCTGCTGATGATGATGCTGCTGCTGATGATGATGCTGCTGATGATGACGATGCGGACGATGTTGTTGTTGATGATGATGGTTGTGATGATGCTGATTATGATGATGATTATGATGGTGATGATGATGAGGGTGATGTTGCTGATGATGCTGCTGCTGATGATGATGAAAATGGCGATGATGATGATGCTGATGGTGATACTGATGATGATGACGATGATGATGGTGCTGATGATGATGATGAGGATGATGATGATGTTTCTGATGATGGTGGTGGTGGTGGTGATGATGATGATGGTGATGACGAGGAGGAGGATGAGCAGGAGGAGGAGAAGGAGGAGGAGGAGGAGGAGGAGGAGGCGGAGGAGGAGGAGGAGGAGGAGGAGGAGGAGGAGGAGGAGGAGGAG